CTGAACAAAGAAAGGGGCAGATGAAGGGCATTCTTGCATTTTGAAACTTTGTATCCTGCCACAAAATTTCACATAGATATTATATGGTTATCTTAAAAATAGATGTCTCATATATGTTAATCTTGTGCAAGTACAAAGTGCTTTCATAGGTAGGGTTCTTTCATGTGTTTTTGAATCCTTTTCTAGTCATTTACTTCTCAAAGTAGCTGTGTGTTACTTTTTCAGTCTTTGATAGGAGCAGTAAGATTAAATATGAATTCATTTTATGAAATAGTAATTTTCCTTAAGAGCTCAATGTTGCTGGGCACGGTGGCTCACACCTGTAATCCCAGCACTTTGGGAGGCTGAGGCAGGCAGATCACCTGAGGTCGGGAGTTTGAGGCCAACCTGGCCAACATGGCAAAACCTCATCTCTACTAAAAGTACAAAACTTAACGGTGTGGTGGCAGTGCCTGTAATCCCAGCTACTCTGGAGGCTGAGGCACAAGAATCACTTGAACCCAGAAGGCGAAGGTTGCAGTGAGCTGAGATTGCGCCACTGCACTCCACCTGGGTGACAGAGTGAGATTTGGTCTCCAAAAAAAGCAGTTGAATGTTAACCTATAATCATGGGTTACAAGAAGTATTGAGCCGAAACAAAGATGAGACTCATTTCCTGTTCATCAAGGAACTCAAAAGTCTAGGGAGGCAACCCTGGTTGTAAAATATTATAAAACAAAATGACAAATGTTAGTTGAGAAGATATTTGAAGATTTTTGAGGCAGGATGGGAGGGCAAGAGGTGGAAGAGTCAGGTAAGCCTTCTGAAAAAGAGTTGATGACTGAGGTGAGCCTTGTGGGAATTACGGGATTTTGCCAAGTGGACCATTCTACGTATGTGCCAAAGCCTGAAGGCCTGAGAGGACCTTCCCAAGCTTACAATGGAAGATGCAATTCAGTGTGGCTGGAATCTAGGCCACATAGAGGGTGGGAGAGTAGAGATGAGGCAAGCAGTAAGAAAGTTCCCAAGAAATCTATTTCAAAAGAAAATGAAGCCAGGAGAGGTGGCTCTCACCTGTAATCCCAGCTACTCTGGAGACTGAGATGTAGGATCACTTATGCCCAGGAGTTTGAGGTTACAGTGAGATATGATTGCACCAGTGCACTCCAGCCTGGGTGACAGTGTGTGTGCGTGCATGTGTGTGTGTATTTATACCCACATATACACACACACATATAAGATAAAATAGAGAAAATGAACCTACTGTGGTGGCCTTCCAATAGACATGTTGTTTTCATTTAGCTCTAGATATATAATAAGGTTCTTACAACATGATTCTGCAGTTGTTCATATCCTAGCAGAATTGTACTTAGCGGATCTTATTCAGCTAAGTAAATGTTATAGTAGGTATGTTGGATTCAGGGCACCTTTTACCTGAAAAGCTTACTTGCTCTAGAGAGCTTAACAATCAAGTAGGGAAAGACTGTGTTTGCATACTGCACTGTTCTCAGAGTGTGAAACACAAATCTGGAAATGATTTTGCATGTTTTAAATGTCACACTATTGATCTCTAGAATTAATATTGTGTCTGAAGAAAGGAAAAAAATCTAAATAAATAAATAATTGAAATATCAAGAAGAGAAGGAATCGGAACTTTAGGGTTTTCCATTCTCATCGTCTGTAATGCCAATAGAGACTAATAATAAACTGCATCCTTAGAATATTGCCTACAATTTGTAATCTTTTCCCTTCTTATGTAACTAATTTGGGAAATCTTTTTAAAAGTGAATAATTATCTATTTGATAAAATCGTAATTTCTTTACCCCTTGATTTTTATTTTCTTTTTTTGTTTTATAATATAGTGTTCATAATCTGGATTATGTTGCTATACAAAGGATTTACTGGTCCTTTCTAATTCGTGATCTTGTATATGGTTTTATGTCAGTTTACTTACCTTTTAGGTCTCCAGCTGGGCCTACGAATTAAACTGACATAACAACAGATTAGCGGAACAAAAACATACAAGAGATATAAAGGCCGTTGGCTGTAATTTGTTTGGTTGCCCAGAAGCTAAGAAAGGTGGCCATGAAGAGAAATTTAGTCTCAATAATTTGAAGTATCAATTCCTGGGTTGCTCCTGCCATCTGTTGTCATTTCCTCTGGGTACGGACTATTAGATTGAAACTCTCTGAGATCTTGGTTTTTAACTGAAATTGGATTTTTTTTTGCTTCGTAAGTACATAGCATACAAGATTTCTTTTTCTTTTGGTCCTGCGTTAGATATTCCTCGGTTAACTCCATCACTTTGGGAGTTGAAAGAATCATTTTCATTCATCAGTTAGGTATTCTGAGCCAAAGTATCTGTTATTGTTATTACATTATAAATGATGAACAAGTGATAGAATTTTTTCTAAGACAGTGTGTCTAACTTTAGCCATTCATGTATCATCTTCAGATTTGTCATATCCATGTACCATTTGTTCTTTTTTATTTAAAATATGTATATTTACTGATTTACTATACATTTGCATTTTCTCCCTTGCTGAATTTAATACCTCCTCTGTGCTTCTAAAATACCCAGTGTTCACTTGTATCAACATTGTTAAAGTGCCTCTCCACTAGTATATGATCTCCATTTGCCAAACATAATGCAAATAGTCACTATAAATATAGCTGTGATCAAAAGTAATATATTCCTTACTTTCATCAACTGCCTCGTGGAAGAAAGAAAAAAACTTCAAACCTGTAATATATTTACTATTTCACTGCAGCTTTATTATTTAATCCTACTCAATACTGATTATTTAATAAGTATACCACAAATTGTGATAAGCAGTTTGGAGAAAGCACACAGTGCTTATGAAACAGTTTAAGAGATGGACATAATTTAGACTGGGAAAGTAGGTGGAGTCATCCCTGAGAAAGTGATGGGTATCATTGTGTTTTAGTTTTTCACTCATCTGACGCATAATAAATAAGGCACGGTTTAGTGAGTAAACTCTAGGTAGATGAATGACGATTTCATAACGATTTTAGCACACAAAATTATATTCACTTCCTTCTTTTAGTATTCTAGTTAAGAATGTTGGATTATTCATAACCTTAAGAGGTTTGTTTTTTTTGTTGGGGGGGGTGGGAGATTTTCCTGCTTTACTGCTTTAGTTCATATTTACTACTCATAATGTTAAAAGGGTTTTTTGGTGGGAGATTTTCCTGTTTTGCTACATTAGTACATATTTATTCTACACAGAAGTTTTTCTGTAAAATTAACAAATATTACACTTATATAAGCCCGTTTGTTCTCAAATAATACTACGTTAATCACTCCCCCACACATATGTTGGAAAATATCATTTTCACAAAAGAAGCATGCCATTTTTAAATTGAGATTTTCTTCTTGTTTATATTGAAAGAGAATTAAGTGAATTAATTGCTCCACTTGTAGTTCATTGTGACATTTTTTTCCTTCCCTATAATAAATTGATAACTGGCACTGAAATGATGAAATCTAGGCCAGTGAGCATGAGCCAACTGTCAGCTAACTGAGTTTATAAAAGAGATGAGATCACTAAAAACCAGGGGAACCAGCTGGGGGAAAATGGGGCATGTAATTAGGAGGCGACATGATTCCTCACCCTTCTTCCAGAAGGTAAGAAAAGGATTTAAGGAAGAGAAAAGATGATTCTATTTGATCTGTCAACACTGCTTATTTAAAAATACTACATGTTATAGTATTTTATCCTGCATGTTAATCTTAGAGAAAAGTAATACTGGTTTTCCAAAGTGAAGTAATTTCTCTACCAATTGGGTACTTATCATCTACAGTGTGTTAGAGAAACTTCGGTAGATTTTAGTATTTCATGAAATGATCTGTATTTATCCTATTAATTGATTGAAGGACTTGTGAAGAAAGTAGATGATTTGTGGTATATTGATGCAGGCCAACTGTCTTAAGCCGTTTAGTGTTGTTATATGTGAATACCTGAGGCTGGGTAATTTATAAAGAGGCTTATTTGGCTCACAGTTCTGCAGGCTGTACAGGAAGCATAGTGCTAGCATCTGCTTAACCTTTGGTGAGGGCCTCAGGCTGCTTCCACTCATGGCAGAAGATATAGAGTAGCTGGCATGTGTAAAGATCACATGGAGAGAGAGGAAGCAAGAGAGAGATGGGAGAGGTTTCAGGCTGTTTTTAGTAACCAGTCTTGGAGGAACTAATGGAGCAAGAACCTATTCACTATGGCAAGAATGGTACCAAGCCATACGTGAGGGATCTGCGCCCATGACTCAAACCCCTCCCATAGTTTCCACCTCCAACACTGGGGACCAGATTTCAACATGATGTTTGGAGGGGACAAATATACAAACCTGTAGCACCAACTCTGTTACCCCAGGCCACTTAACCTCTCTAAGCCTTCATAGACATAAGAGGAGAATAGTGGTACCTACCTGAGAAAACTATAAAGTATAATATTTCATCAAAGATCAAAGAGATAAAGTGCTTTTGTTAAATGGGAAGAAGATGCTATATTAATGCAACACTGTATTACTGTTGTTTGTTGTTGTTTTGTTGGCTTTTATGTTTAACTTATTAGCTGTGGATTTGGGTATATCAACTATCACTCTATTAGAAAACCTGTTTTGTAGCAGACAATGTATCTCTAGGATTTAGTTTTAAATTTAGCACCACCTTTACCCTGTTGAGATGAATAACTGCTGTGTTATCTGTAGATCTTAGAATGCTTTAGCCTTATGTAGATTCCGAGGTAATTAATATTGCCATATTTAAGATACAATAAAATTAAAAGAGCCACTTAAGTTTGGAGTTGGGATTTCCACAAGGCACAAAGCAAATGTCCAAAATGAACAAAAGTCTTTTGGTTATGGTTTAGTTCAAAATTTGACTCCCGCCCCCTTTACAATAGTTTTATAATGCTGAATATTTTGCACCCAGGACACCAGAATTTTTATTGTTATTGAACGAAATATCAGTGAAATACTGAATTCTATTCTTTTTCTACAGTGCCTCCAAAGCCATTACACCTGCAGAATTCACCTTCGTCCAATATACACCAAACCCCCAGGCATAAAGCTTTACCTAGTGCAAAACCAAGGATGGAGGAAATTAAACCTGCCCCTGCTTCTTGTGTCTCAAAAGAAAAACCCAGTAAGGTATCAGATCTCATCAGTCGCTTTGAAGGAGGCAGGTAAGAGCTAATTTACAATGGGAGAAGGCAGGGGAAGAAGAAAGCTGATTTTTCGAAAAAATGATAGCCATAGTCATAGATTTTCTAAATAAAAAGCATAGTATCTTATTCCATTAGGTTTGATAGGCCTTTAGAAAGGGTGAATTTTTAAAACAAATGACTTAGTCTTACCCTAATGTGAACTGTCATGTGCTATGTGTTAGCTAGATGCAGCACTGTAGGCCACCAGCTTTTTCATGAAATTGTGTGCTTTGGTATCTGTGTGGTTTCTCTTGTTTCCTCTGTATCTCTGTGTGTCATTCTCTACGTATTACTCCTTGTGGCTCATTCTGTGGGGCGCTGGATATCTGGGTTGGAAAGGCTGAGCGGGCCTCTGTCTCTTCGTTTCTCACTTTGTGTGTTTGTGAATGTGACCCCTGTGGGCTTGTCTCCTCCCTGGGGCTGTCTCTTCTTTCCATCCCATTTTCCATCCCATTTTATTTAATGTGGGTATTCTATACCCATTCAGTCCCTGTTTCCCCTCTCCATATACTCCATCATCTGCTAGGTTTTGCGAAGAGATAATATTACCAATGGCAAAATGTATGCTAAATTTCAGTTTTGTATTGATTAAATATAATTTATATTCTTAATCCCAATGTTTGAAAGTAGGTGAAATATTCTATTTCTCATTTAAAGATAAATGGAACCCACCTAAGTTGCTTTTCTCCTTATAAAAATCTCAATTGTTTATTTTTTCTTAGTCTTTTGATAAAAAGGAATTTTGTCACTGACTTAAATATAATTTTAAACAATGTTATGAGTAGGATTTTGGTCACCAAAATCTATGTATAACTAAATAGAATGTGTATAACTTCACTTTCATCCTTGAAACCAAATATTTTCATTCATTCCAGTGTAATATTTGGGACTTATTTCCCATTAGGGTGATTTTATTATTTATTTGTGGGATTTACTGTTATTTATGTAATGAAATCATAGCTTGGAAATAGTTTGAGTATCGTCTGGGAATTGTGACCAAGCACAAAACCTGCAGTGTCCCTCGTTTTTAAAATGGGTCTAACAGATGCTGGTTCTTCCTATCAATTTCCTGTGACAACTCAGAACCCCCCTCTATTTTACAAAGTTACAAGCTCTGGAGAAAATTAACTTAGAAGCCTGTCTTCAATTTTCATTCCTGATAAATTTTAGGAACTTTGGTCATAAATATTTCAACTTCAGCATCTCTTCCTCTGAAGTAGGATTTATAGGACCTTTGCTATCTTGAATTACAGTGATCTTTACTAGAATGGTTTAATTCCATTTAAAACATTTTTTTGCTGCTCAGGGTATAAGTTGACTTAATAACAACAGAGTGACCCCTCGTGTTTGCAGATTCCAGGGGCCATGCCCAGTGACTGCGTAATAGGAGGGCCTGGAGCCCTGATCCCTGTCATAAGGCTTGTCAGAGCCTGCATCCCTAGGTTTCAGGGATAACTCTGAAACCTGGAAAGGGTCAGTATTCCAAAGACTGCGTCCTCCATTTTGGTTAACCCACTCTGCATTGTTTTAGATTCTTCTACATGTGAAGTGTTTGTACTTTTAATCATTCAAGCTTCACAAATTCAATCCTGTTTTGATGCAGAGGTTGAAGGTTTAATTCATCTAAGGAAAAATGTGCTATAATTTATGATTTTTTTTAAGCAAATTTATTCTGAGTGCAAATTGGGTATAGTGTATTTTGGCAGGTCTGGTGAAAAAATATTATTTGTGGTAGAGTCCACTGCCAATACAAAAAACAATGATATGTTCTCAGTGAGGTATTACCACTACAGACTGGCCCCAAAAGTGTTTGAGTGGGTTAATACTGCATTGGATCTATAGGACTTGAGTAGGAGATTTGTATTGACTGTTGAGTGGTGTCCTTGCCCTTGCAAGGGTTGTTTTCAGTTTTAACCTTTCTTATGAGAGCTTAGACTAGCTTTGTAAAATAGAGGGAGGCCCTGAGTTGTTACAGGAAATTGATAGGAAGAACCAACAACTGTTAGAGTGGAGTCTGGTCAGAATGGTCATAGCATACTGTTGTTAAGACCTTACCCGGCTGGGTGCGGTGGCTCATGCCTATATTCCCAGCACTTTGGGAGGCCGCAGTGGTTGGATTATCCGAGCTCAGGAGTTCGAGATCAGCCTGGGTAACATGGCAAAACCCTATCTCTACAAAAAATACAAAAATTAGCCAGGCATGGTGGTGCACGCCTGTGGTCCCAGCTACTTGGGAGGCTGATATGAAAGGATTGCTTGAGCCCAGGAGGTCAAGGCTGCAGTGAGCCGAGATTGTGCCACTGCACTCCAGCCTGGGCGATGGAGTGGGACCCTGCCTTAAAAACAAAAACAAACAAACAAAAAAATCCCAAGTAACACTAGTTTGTTAAGATGAGAGATTTGGAGCAAGTAGATTTTCTTTAATTTTTACTGTGGTTTCCTTCTTTCTTTCTCCTATTCCTCCTTCTTTCTCTCTTTCAGAGTAAGAGAGAATACTCTTTTTAACCTAGGAAAGACTTTAAGATTTTAGAAATAAGATTATGTTTCTACAGACCTGAACATTGGTGTTTTTTGTTTTTGTTTTTGTTTTTGTTTTTTTTGAGATGGAGTTTCACTCTTGTTGCCCAGGCTGGAGTGCAATCGTGCAATCTCAGCTCTACCTCCCAGGTTCAAGCAATTCTCCTGCCTCAGCCTCCCAAGTAGCTGGGATGACAGGCATGCACCACCACACCTGGCTAATTTTGTATTTTTAGTAGAGATGGGGTTTCTCCATGTTGAGGCTGGTCTTGAACTCCTGACCTCAGGTGATCCGTCCGCCTCATCCTCCCAAAGTACTGGGATTATAGGCGTGAGCCACCGCGCCTGGCCAGAACATTGGTTTTTCCCATGGACACTCCAGGGTCAACTGTTTTCCCCTTATGGTTTGGCATCCACAAAGCAGCAGGAATCTTCCAAGTACTGGTTCAACTACTACTTTTACTAACTCCTTACCCACCTAATCCTTCCCAGTCTCCTTCTCTCCCTCCCCACTCATACCCTTGATGTCACTTACTGTGGGGCATTTGCAGCTCTCATTCAAAGCCATTCTTTAGACAAGACCTGAACATGCTTAAATTTGTTTCAGAGGATCTGTTGAGGATCTTTTCACCAGGGAATCCAGAGACTGATGCAGGCAGGAGAAGGAGGACAGTTTGATTCAAATCTCTAAAGACTACTTGGGAAATTATACAGCCAAAGGTGTCCTCTTCGAGGGGGCAAATCTCAATTGAAGAGTGTATAGCATTTATGTATATTGCCCACCTCCAACTTTTATGTATATGACATTTTCCCCTACTCAATTTATCCTTTCTTTCCTCTGGTGTTGGACTTTACCCGTATCTTTTTTCCTCCTTCGTCACTTTCTTGCTGTCTACTTTTATTCCTTGTTTCATTCTCTAGTCCAGATCAGCCATGACCGGGAAGGGTGAAGTGAGAGCAAAGGTGACACATCTCAGCATTGTCCTTGAAACTGGGCTGCTTGCTGTTTCCTTCCCCACCTCCCTTTATCCTGTTACCTGCACTGGGGAAGATGATCAACCCTAGACTTTCTTCCCACATTTTGCCTGCAGCCTATTCACCTGATGCTCATTCTGTCCTTCTGCTGCAGTACATCATAACTTGGGGTGAAGACCGTGAGATTTAGAGTTGGATTCATGGTTTGACTTCTGGCTTTTCTGCTCGTTACATTGTGACATTAGCCACCTTAATTTTCTAAGCCTAGATTTCTCTATGGGATCCCTGTCTTTGGAATTATTGTGAGGAGGAAACAAGGTAATTATTGTAAGGGGCTTCTTGTAGTTTGTGGTTCTTAGTAAGCACTTAATAAATGTTTCCGGCTGTTATTATTGTCACAATTATCATCATTATCATGGTTATTCAAAGCTCATCAAATATTTATTGAGTACTTCCCCTGTGTCAAGCACCATGCTAAGAGGTAAGAATAAAGCAGAGAGGAAATCTACACCCTCATCGAGTTTTAGTACCTTTATTTCTTCTCGTTTAGGTCACAGGAATCTTTCAAAGAGTATAGTCCAAAGTTTTTTGTTCCATTCCCCACTTCACTCCCAGAATCCTAGATTAAAATCTATACAAATATTTCCACAGGAATATTGTTATATATTGGGAGTAAGTTTCATTCTCCTATTAGGACTACTATTATGTCAAGCAGTAATAAGGACTTTAAAAAAAATAAAATAAGATGTGGAGTTAGTGATGGAGAGTGCTGTTATGATAGATGAATCTAGGAAAACCTCTTTGGAGAGGTGATACCTGAGCAGAAACTCGAATGACGAGAAGAAATACCAGCGTTTTGGGGGAGATTGTCCTAAGCAGAGAACAGCAGCTACAAAGACCCAAAGACACATATACTTGGTTATTAAGAATGGGGAGCAGCAAGGAGTATGGCAAGAACACAGTGAGTTAGGGAAGAATGGAATCTAATGAGGCCAGGCACTTTGGGAACTAGAGTATGTAGAATCTCATAGGCTGTCACTGGGACTTGAATTTTCCCTTGAGTGTGTGAAGAAGCCGTCAGAGTTTTGTGACTGACTTGTAGAGGTTCTAGTGGAGGGGATCAGAGTGGAAACAAAGAGACCAGGTAAAAAGCTATGACAGCATGAATAAAAAAGCTTTCAGAGTGTTCATTATGCCTTCCAAATAAAAGTAACTTTTTGGTTCACAATTTGTTCATGAATTAAGGACTGGCTACACCTATTTAAAAATGTTAAGAAACATCACTAAGTAAAAATGTCAGGAAGAGATGATATATACGTAAGTGTATACTCTAAGTCTTTTACAATCTAGTCACATTATAAAACACTGCAAGATCAGAAAAGTTAAGTTATAATAAAATAATACAGCCCAGAAGTGTTCCTTTATTCTGCTCATTAGTAGACTTCAGGACGGTCCTCTTTTCTTTTTTTATTTTAAATCTTTATTTAAATTGATAGATCCCCAAGAGACTTGGCGGCCCTACACCTGACGATATGTATTCAAATCCATGGTTCGTAAAACATCAGAGATAGAAAAAAAATTAGCAAATATCGCTTTTCAACTGAATAAATATCTTGTCTTTATATTCTTAGAGACTTTTCCTATTGCCAATGGTTTTTCATGGCTTCCTTGTGTTTTAATCTTTTAGCCTTTCATTATCAAATGTTATAGTGATTGGAAGAAATCGTCTGTTGAACATCCATATGCTTCGGAAACCCCAGGATTTTAAAAATATGGTTCTAATGGTAGTTGGCAACCACACCCCACAAAACTCCTCTCCCCCCAGTGCAACTTCTGAGGAGGGTGTTGCAGGAAAATGAGACAGATAAGACTCAGCGGTGCACAGACTTTGTGTGGCCAATGTGTAATGCCAGCAAAAACCAGATGGATGGAGGAGGAGGAAAGCGCCACTCTTAGCCCAGATACTTTCGATTCAAGCTTCTGAAACCCTGCTTGATACCGCACATTAGGGAATTGGAGAAAGAGAGAAACTGCCACAGCTCGCCTGCATCACCCACAGCAGGGAGACTGGAGGAAAATGCCTTCGAACAGTAGCTAACAGGACTCCAGGCATAGGGCCAGGCTCCCCCTAGAAGAAAGGAGCGGGCAGAACAGAAACCAAGGTACAAAAGAGGCAAAATCGGAAAGCCCCCTCTGAACGGAGCAGCTGGACGCACATGGAGATAAGGTAGAGCATGAAACTAGCTCATAAGCAGGAAAACCCTGCCTGTTCTATGTTGGCTTAAAACTTACTTTTTTTTTTTTTTTTTTTTGAGAGGAGTCTGCTCTGTGCGGCCCAGCTGGAGTCAGTGGCGATGATCTTGGCTCACTGCAAGCTCCGCCTCCTGAGGTTCACGCCATCTCCGGCTCAGCCTCCCGAGTAGCTGCGGAACTACAGGCGCTCACCACCCACACCCAGCTAATTTTTGTATTTTTTAGTAGAGACGGGTGGGTTTCACTGGTTAGCCAGGATGTCTGTCTCCTGACCTGTGATCCGCCCACGTCGCCTCCCAAAGCGCGGGCATTACAGGCTTTGAAAATCTTATTATTGCACCCCTGAAATGGATGATCAGGTCACCCACACTGGCAGCTTAAATGATTCAAGCTCTGGCCGTTGCTGATAAGTATTTCCCCTGCTGCTCTAAGCAGATATTTCACTTTGTTGTAGTTTTACGCTAATATCTCTTTTGTAATTTCAGCGAGTCAGAACAGGTGGAAACTTTAATGTAGAAATCCACAACGTATTGCTTTTTACATAGAAAGAAAATGTTCCTTGTTGTTCTAGATGTTGGCGTGCTGATATCCTAATACTTATGGACCAAGCAAGAAGAAATTTATTAATCTTGTTGTTCAGAAGTTTCTAATAGAATCAATAGTTGACCTGTTAAGATGAACTTGCCACTTAGTAACAGTACTTAAGGACATGATTAGTCTCTAAATTATTCAACAGAGTATACACTCTAGGCTTTTTATTTTGTTTTAAGTTTATCGTAATTAATACCAATTTTTGTAATAAATGTATAATCTTGGTACAAGGCCATTTAAAAAATTCATTTTAGGCCAGATGGTGGCTGATTTGCTGTAATCCCCAGTACTTGTGGGCCACGCCGGAGAAGATCCTCAGCCCAGTAATCACGACCATCTGGGCAACACGCGATCGAGACCCCATTACAAAATTTAAACTTTAGCAGAGCATTGGTAGTTCACACCCGTGATCCAGCTTACTCAGGTGAGGCTGAGAGGGGCATAATGCTTGAGCCCAGAGAGGTCGAAGAGCTGTAAAGAGCCGGATGATTGTTGCCACTGCACTCAGCCAGGGTGACAGAGCGAGACCCTGTCTCCAAAAACACAAAGAAAAAAAAAAATCTTTACTTGCAATTCCATTTATAGAAGAAGAATAGCCCCAGAAAGCCTTATTATTTTTTCAAGGTCACACTGTTTTTTGAATAATAGCTCACAACCTCATGCTGTGACTCCGAGGACAGTGTTGTGTCCCTGAAGCAACACATCACAAACTTAAATGGCTAAATGCAAGAAATGTCACTAAATGAAGCAGCTATGGGTAATAAGCTGGTGGGATTATTGAGAACTGGACATTTCTGTCCTTTCTAAAGAAGAAAGTGATTTGATGAACTGCCTGGATGGAGTTTCTGCCCATATACACAATGTCAGCTAAGAAAATGCTGATTTGCTGGTGAAATATATACTGACTCTGAAGCAGAGAAAGTTTAAAGGAGGAAGTGGGTGGGAGAAAGTGAGTCATACTCAGTAACATCTGAAACAGTAAAGAAACAGGACATTGCAAAGTGAATCCCTATACCTCAATACAATGATAGATTTTAGTGTATTTGTTCATAAACCATGATGGAAGGAAGAGAAGGTTAGAACCCAGAAAATCTTTTACTACTGTTGGGATGATGCCACCAGCAAGTATATATAAAATAGTAAGAGCTATTCTTACAAAGAAAAATATTTTAAATGGTGATGATGCCTATGGTTGTTGGATGGTACTTTTCCTTCCCTTCACATATTATTATGGATGCATTTTCATAGATGAACCTTACACTTCTTTGGGAGAGATTTTATAGAATTTTCCTACTGAACTAGTGAAACATAGAATAGTACTACTGGCCTTTCTCCTGAATGGGCCCTTACACAGTGGATGGCACATGCTGTATGTGGGAAGAAAAAGCAAAATTTCTCTGGCAAATACCACATCTCTCCTGTTAAAATGGAATGTTAGGATTTTGTATCTGTGCTGCAGCAGTGTGTTCACCTTTGCTGCGCTGATGTTTGTTATGTTGCCTTTCCTTGTTCCTAAATACAAACTTAAATCTTAGTATTGTTAAGATGGTAAATTTTATTAGGTGTGTTTTACCACAATTAAGAAAAAAATCTTAATAAAAATATCAGTAGTAATATAGTAGACCGAACGATTAGAACAAAGAAATCTCAATTCTACTTCTGGTTTGTCCATTAACTTGCAGTATGAGCTTGAACAAGTCAACAATTCTTTGTGTGTTTAGTGAAAGAATCTAACTGTATATAATCTTAAGGCCCTATCTTCATGTTGTAAAAGCCAACCCCCCCCACTAAAAAAAAAAGAAAAATCTTAAGGCCCATTTCAGTGATTATGTACTAATTCTATGCTGTGATATGTAGGTATATTCCCTTGCTAGCATAGCACACCAGATTAGCAGCTGCTGCTTAAGCTATCTAACGTGTTGAACTTCTAAGATACAATGGAATATTTTTAGTTTCAATATGCAGACAACTGAAAAACTTTAATCTTCCTGGAAGTGGATATAGATACTGACTTCAGAATAGTCTTAAATATGTTTCGTTTAAGCTAATGTTAGATTTGATGGCATTTCCCAAATGCCCACAGGAGTGGGAAAATGAAGGGATAGGGAATGAAAGAAAGGGGAGCAGCCAGGTGCGGTGGCTCACACCTGTGTAATCCCAGCACTTTGGAAGGCCGAGGTGGGTGGATTGCTTGAGTCCAGGACTTGAAGACCAACCTGAGCAACGTGGCAAAACCCCATCTCTACTAAAAATACAAAAAATTAGCTGGTGTGGTGTCATGCACCACCAGCTACTCGGGAGGCTGAGGTGGGAGGATTGCTTGAGCCTGGGAGGCAGCACCACAGCACTCCAGGCTAGGTGACAGAGTGAGATCCTGTCTCAAAAATTATATATATGTGCGTGTGTGTGTATATATGTATATATATGTGTATATGTGTGTGTATGTATGTATATATACATATATCTTAAAGGCAGCTTTTCTTTATTCACTTAGAACTGAATGGTGAACTCAGAAAATCCTTTTTTGTGGCTACTCAGTTTACTATGTTCATAATATAAGAAAGAAAAATGTGAAAAAATTGAACTGTTCAATTAAAAAATTCAGTGTGCCAGGCTCACTCTCCTCGGCACCAGAAACATAGAAATGGACTAAACAAATCCTATCAACAAAGCCTCAGTCCGCTGAGGGGTGAGAGACATACATAAATGGACATAATGTGGTACAGTAAGTGCTTTGGAAATACAGATGACTGGGCCAGGTGCAGTGGTTCACACTTGCTATCCCAGCACTTTGGGAGGCTATGGCAGAGGATCTCTCGAGCCCAGGAGTTCGAGACCAACCTGGGCAACGGGCAAAACCCCATCTCTACAAAAAATGTAAAAGTTTGCTGGGTGTGGTGGCACTTGCTTGTGGTCCCCGCTACTCAGGAGGCTAAGGTGGGAGGATTGTTTGAACCCAGAAGGTCGAGGCAGCAGTGAGCTATGATCCTGCTACTTCACTCTCACCTGGGCCACAGAGCTGAGACCTTGTCTCAAAAAAAAAAAAAGAAAAGAAGAAAGAAAAAAAGAAGGAAATGCAGATAAAGAAGCAGTTGTGCCCCAGGAGTGATAGTTGAGGGCCAGGCTGCTGAGAAGCAGTTGAAGTAGCCTTGAAGCAAGGATGGGAGATTGCTGGGTGAGATCAAAGATGTGGTGGGATGGGGATGAGTGAAAGTGTGAGCAATGAGTAGAGGCAAGATTGTAGATGCTGCATTTGGGGGAATATTTCTGACTGCATAATCAGAGGTCAGAATGGCTAGAGAAATTAATGTAGAGGTACAAGGCTAGATTTAAAAGAGTAAGCTAAGAACAGACTGCGATGGCCTTTTGAATGCCTGTTAAGAATGTACATATTTTTTTCCTGAAAACATTAGAGACTTTTTTTAAACGTTTGAAAGTTTAAAAAGTTTAAAAATCTTAAATGGTTTTTAAAACCTTTTAAGTTGCTAAAAGTTTACAATTTTCATTGAAAAAGAGGAAAATTGGCAAAGCACAGAAAATACACACAAAAACCACACCCGTAATTCTACCAGTGAGAATTGCCTAGATATTTGATATTCTAGCTTGTTTTTCTGAGCTGTTTGAAAAAACATACTTGATCGCATAATGTATGGTCACTCTATATCCTGTTTTGTTGGGTTATACATAGATAGGTATTTCCCTCATATTAATTCAGACTTTCCATAAGCCTAATATTATCTGGCCTCAGAAACAATTGAAGCATGGAAGTGACATGATGACACATGTGTGGGTTTTTGAAAAATGAGTCAGATGAAAGGGAAAACAGATGGAGCAGGACACGTGGTTAGGAAGCAACTGCACTAGTCCAGGTGTGAGATGAAGGGGTCCTGGATGAGGCAGAGGGTGAGAGACAAAGAAGATTCTGAGGACCTTGTGGGTAGATGTGGGGGTTAAGTCAGGTTTAACTCCTAGGCTGGATGAATTGGCAGATGGTGTGCCATTGAATGAGCTACAAGAGAATGGAAGGCAGAACCTATTTTATGGGCAAAAAAAATAAATTACATTTTAACATACTGAATTGAGGGGCTTCTTGGAAGTCCGGGTGTAGATGTCTCACAGAAATGGAATATTCTGGGCCTGGTGCAGTGGCTCACGCCTGTAATCCCAGCACTTTAGGAGGCCAAGGTGGTGGGATCACCTGAGGTCAGGAGTTCAAGATCAGCCTGGCCAATCGCCAATATGATGGAAAACCCCATCTCTACTAAAATACAAAAATAATTAGTCTGGGTGTGTGAGGCACTGCACGTGTAGTCCACTACTCACGGAGGCTGAGGCAGACGAATTGCGTTAATTCTGGATGTGGAGATTGCAGGTGAGCCTATA